AAGGCTAGTTCTTCTCTGGTTAGATCTTTAGTTCCCTAGACTTCAATATCCAGAATATTTTACAGACTACAGTAACACATTACAGTATTTGTTTGCTCTAAGAATGAGTATTGCTGGTGAGCAGGTGATAAACCAGCGATTTTCTTCAACTAGAGGTAGCTTGCATATATAGGACAGCTTGCATATGGGTTATTCCTGTTATCCAGCCATTTGCAAACAATTTAAAAATATGTTTGCTTTTATAATCGGTTTTCAGACTTTCAGAAATATCAAGGCACTTAAACCCTTTAAAACAAATCTCATGTGCTACATTCTGAGTTCAGTCTGATTTAAATCTTTCAAAAAGATCTGTCGAAAACTTTGGCATATCACAGTCGATCACAAGACCCATCATTTGCATCAAACTTGTCATAATGCCTCATGACTTGCAATTTTTGAATGCTTAAATGAGTGCAAGATTTCACAGTTCTGGTAATAATTGTCAGACGATGTAAATTTCAGTCCTTCACATAAAACTATTGTATGACTTCCGAGGAATTAAATAGGCTACATTTATGGGGCTTTTACCATTTTTTAAGCTGTAGCTCAGACATTAAATTGTGAGAAAAATTAAAACGAAAAATTAGCGATTAATGTAATGAGTGAATGACATTTTTTTTTTTTTACGTTTTCAATTTTAAAGGGTTAGTTCGCCCAAAAACGACACTCAAAAAAATTGAGTCATTAATTACTCACCCTCATATCGTTCCAAACCCGTAAGACCTCCGTTCATCATCGGAACACATATTTTTGATGAAATCCGAGAGCTTTCTAACCCTCCACAGACTGCAACATAATTGCCACTTTCAAGGCCCAGAAAGGTAGTAAAGACACCTTAAAAGTTATGAAGCGCCGAGAATACTTTTTGTGCGCAATAAAAACAAAAATATTTACTTTACTCAACATTTCCTTCTCTTCTATGTCAGTCTCTGACAGTGTCTTACGGGTTGGGAACGACATGAGTGAACTAACCCTTTAACTAGTTTTGAGTTTAATCTTTCATCCAGTATGACATGAATGAAAATGCACGGCATAAGAGGAATGACCCCGATGGCGATTCGTTTATTGGTGCTCGTCAGGATCAGAACTTTAGAAAGTCAGTCACAGCAATCAGTCTTGGGCATGAATGCCATTTGCTTCAAATTCAAGACAAGAGCTACAGGAACTGATTTCAGGATTGAGCGAAAAACCAGTGGGTTATCGAAGTCACAGTTGTACACTTCACCTGTGTTACTTTAAGACACTTAACCAAGTCAAAGGAAGAGTGACCATCTCGTCTGTGAACAAAATCTGTTACAAACAATAATGGCAGCTCCTGCAGATCTGATCCTCCGTCTGTGATGAAGCCTCATCTCAGAAGTGTTCTTTTTGTTAAATCCAGTAACAGATAGATGTTCAAAATTATACTACAAAACAATTCAGATGGTCCAGACGGCATGTGGACCTCATGTGTTTCTACAAGGTTCTCTCAATATATTTTGTCCCTATATGATCTGGTGTGTTACACCGAGAAAAGTAATGATATCTGTTTAAATGTAACGTACAGCTGTACCTGTCATGCTCTGCCTTGATTCACTGGAGCCCATACACATTTGTGCCAATGCTGTAAGTCACAATCACTGCACTGTACCCTCGCTTTCTCGCTGTTTGCCTTTTAAGAGTTTTATACTGTGCTGAACCTAGCGGCAGTAGGTACTTTGTCTCATCCAGAGCATCAGTGCTTCATTTGGGTGTTTATGGTTGCCAAAGAGAGGTTAAATGAAAGTGAACTGAGTGTTGAATGTAGCGTTGAGGGGAGAAGTCTGTTGTTACTGCCTCATAGCTGTCAAACCGTATGTCCTCACGACTCATGCCTACTGTACTATTCTAAAAATAAACCAAACTATAGTTTCTACTTGTGCCTGTGAGTTATTAAAGATTCTTCATACATATGCATAAGCTCAATGCAAATACAGTGGGCTCCAAAAGTCTGAACGCACTTTAATTGAATATATAAATTATTCATGTAAAATGAAAATTATTATGCTTTAACGACAGCATCGGTTGAACTCCACAAGTGATGGTCATGTTTTCCAGAGCATGATTTGAGATAAACCAAGCTTGCCAAAGAAAAGAAATTATAGATCTCCGTCATTATAATCTGAAAGTATGGTAGAGATCAGTTTACATTTGCTTTTTTATTTCAGAAAAGACAAGAATGTGCACATACATAAGCAGTTCTCCATAAATAGGAATAAACAGAAAAGCCAAAACAAAAACAAAACATTATAAAATGGGTTTTTAAAGCCGATCAGACAAAATCTCTCCATCGAAGAATCTCACAACGTTCCCACCTTCCTCAAACAATCCAGAGTAGACGCCCTATTATAACACATGCAATTCATATCAGTATCTAATCTAACTGATTTCATATTTTTCCTGTAACAAATCAAAGGTTGTATATACACAATGGCTTTTGTGACTGGTCTAGTTCTTTTTAGTCCCTCATCAGAAACGAACCAAAAGATATATTTACAGAACCTGCAATTTTATATTTTCACTATTATGCAGCAAGTCTATATTTTGATATTTAATAAGCAGTATTGCTCAGTATGTGAAAAAGCAAAAGCAACAGGTGAAGACAAATAAACCCCCTTAAACCTATTAACAGTCATTGAAATTTCTAAGAAACAAAAAAAGAAAAAAGTACAAAAATCAAATAGAACAACAAAATATCACGTAAACGCAAATCCCTTTTACTTACACCAGTGGAGTTACAGATATTCAGAACCGCATTAAGCAACAAAACAGCAGGAAAAGGCACAGTTCCTGTGTCGGTGCTGCTTGCGTTGAGAAATTGCACTATATATTGCATCTAATACACTGTACAGATCTCTGCATAGACAGAGAATTCACAGAGGCATCACTAAAACATTAGCAAAGCATGGTGGTCTGTTTAATATTAATATCAAGAAGAGGCTTCATCAGCTTTCTGAAATGAGTGTTAGAGGCATGTGCCACAAAAACGTTTAGAACTGACAGAAAAAGAAAGGCTTCCCTATAGAACTGCATTTATAGAAATAATATCTACCAATTGCTCACTTTTTTTTTTCTTACATTTTCACATTCATTCAAGTAAAAGATCTCATATTTAAACAGTCAGGCATCAAAAAAAAGAAAAAGAAAAAAAAAGCACATTCAGTTTGTTAACATGAAGAGAGAACCCTTTAGAAAAGCTTTTGAAATACGTGAATTGGTGGTTACAAATACCGATAATTATGTACTGTAGCTACAGAGTACAGATCATTACTCTAATCCTTTCAGGACGCAACAAGCTCTCTCCTCCATGCCCTGTGGGTAAATGCATGTGCTCTGCCTCCACATGCTGTTGCAATGACACAGACAGAACAGAAGAGGGCGGTATAGCGCACAGGCCACAGCGCGGCCCCTCTAGTAGTAGAGAGGAGCGGATCGGTCGTCCATGATGCTTGGCCTGAAGTAGACCTCCAGGGAACGGTCACTAGATAGAGAGGGGGTGGAGAACAAACACGGTCAGTACGCCCGCGACACGGCCCGTGCCAGTGACCCACTGAACTCTACGACATCAAAACATCTTAAAAGTCTACTGCACTTTGATTTGGGAAACAGAAGAAAAAGTACTGCTGAAAGGCATACGGTGATTCATTTGACATATACGTATGAACAGGCATCTGAAGGGTGTTTGGAGCAGGCATGCAAATGGAACAAGACTAGTTACTTCTGATAGAGGCATGCAAGAGTTAGATTCAGGGTTACCTCCAGCGCCAACACCATTTCCTGGCAACCTATGACCTCTCTGGCTGGTACGAACTACAGCTCACACACAAAAAAAAAAAGAAAAAAAAGCCAAGGACCAACCAGAGAGGCAGGTGGCGGCATGAGACGAAACAGTTGTGAAGCCCTACTGTCCCGTTTAAGCCGAACAGCGAATGGGAGTCGAAAAACAAACCAAAAAAACAAACAAAAGAATACAAGAAAGGGCATGATTGGTTTGGCTTAGCAGCGATGGAGGCAGGTGACTTACGGAGGTCCTGCAACACTCAGAACCGGGACAATTCAGGACCAAAACTGGAAGGTAAAGAGAGTCCAGGGGTTTGTACCTGAGATCTCAGCTCAGACCGAGGCTATGCATGGCTACATTTCCACCGCATTCACATGACTGTTAGTGTTGCGTACGATGGCCGTACTGTAGGTTACTGAGCGTTTAGACTGGTCATGGATGACGTCACAATCTTATGTTCGAAGATGAGTACATAACGCACCTCTAGAAATGACATGGGTTCAAAATATAGTGCAAAATGAAAGCAGTTTGCATAGGAGGTCCGATTAGTAAAGAGATGTGTATGGAAAAACAAAACAAAGAACTCTTGAAGAGCACATTTCAAATATCAAATCCCTTCGGTTCTTGAAATAAAAGGCATGCTTGGAAAACTGACACGCATCTCAAATAGATCAGATCTTAGAAGATAAGGTAGAAGTAAAAAAAAGGCGAGCAGGCAAGCACAGCCACAGAAATACACGGACAGGTCACATATTCATACAGACACAACATCATGATGCACAAACACAAACATTACGCTAGATTAGAACTGTGTGCTCTTCAGGTTCGTGAAATGTTTCGGTCTCAAAGGACGGCAACATAACCTCATCTGGATTTTATTTGTGGACGACCTTGTCTTGTCGGCATGTGGGTGCAAAGCCAATAATTTGAATATTAATTTCAGGGTGCAAGATTAATGTCCCGAAATTGTTCATGCCATATGGATTTTTTATATTTATGTATTTTTTCAAATAATATATGAATAAATAACACCATAAAACTTTAAATAAATATCACAATGAAGTTCTTTTCTGCTTAGTTTTTTTTTTTTTTTGTTCAATGCAGAAAATTGTAAATTCAAGATGACAAATTAAAAATCATCAAAAGCTCATTCAAACAAATGTTTATTAATATATATATATATTTATTTCTTCTTTTCGTAAAAAGTCACCATACATTCAAGGTCAATTGTTCACTATTTTCCTCCTCAGCATGCATATTGTGATTGTTACACTGATTTCTTGTGCATTTTACCTAGTTTGTATATTTTCCAAGAAAAAAAGAAAGAAAGAAAAGAAACAAAAGAACATCAACACAGCGAGGACTACACCACAGCTCCAGAGGATCTGTCAGTCAGCATCCTAAAACTGCACGGAAACATACTACAATGGGAATGTTTTAAAGACATGGGCTGTTGGCACTTCAATATGGGCTCAGAATAGGCTCAAATGAATATATTCAACAAAAATATGATACATAAATGTGTAACCCAATTGATATTCATAAAATAAAAGTTCACAAAGGATGCATCAGCATTGTCCAATGTACTGAACTCTCATTTGATTGGCGGAAGTATTCATTATAATACCATTCTGATCCCATACTTTAAGGTGTCTGAGGCAGGATAATGGGGTATTTTTTGGGGGGTAAAGGTTTCTGCTCAGAGCACTTTTCTTTCATGCATGTAGGGTGAGCGGATGGGTGCCGGTCCGGGCGATCGGCACAGTCCCACCCGAGTATTTTGAAGCTCATGCGACCTTCACTCTAGTTTCGTAGGTCCACTCTCATTTGGCACTTGTTTAATGAGGGAAAATTTCGATTTTCATTCGAATCATTCCAATTTCGTCAGTGAATCAGAGGAAAATCTAAGCTGCTGTTTGTTGCGGCACAAAGCGACACAGCCTCTGGACCAGAGGAGCACCAGGTAATACATGAGGGATTCACAAAACGCAAATGCTCTTCAAAAACACACACAGAGAGAGTACACTCTGCACAACTAAACCACAAAGAAGAAGAAGAAAAAAAAAAAAAGAAACATTCCTCATTATGCATGAGGCTCCCATCACATCTGCTTAGAAAAAAACACTCAGCAAGAGCTTCGCAATGAGGAGAGCTGCTCCAAAAGACTCAATTGGCTTTTGGCACTTTTTACATGAGGATGTCATTTTAGAAAACAACCACATAGCAAAACTTGTGCACATGCATGAAAGACGGGAAGTGGTAAGCAGTCTCTTTGGAGTCCACAGCGATGTCATAGCGGCGTCACTACAGGCGAATCAGAGTCCGTAAAGCAGCGAGACGAGCAGTTGGACTGCGTTCCGGTCGTTCTTCTCAGAGTTCCCCCCCGACCCACCACACGCGACCACCACTATCGCCCCGGCAAGACGCAGGGAGGAAGAGAGGACAGAAAGGAGGGATGAGACTGGCCCCTTCCATTGGAGGAGGAGTGTGTGGAGGCAGAGCTTAAGAGGGGGAGGGGCTAAGGGAAGTAGGGGCGTGGCCCCTGTGCTATCCGGATCTGTGTCTGATAGTCTGTCTGTGTTCACACTGTCGAAATCAATTTGCCATCGGAACTGTGGAACAAAGAGAGAAGGAAGCTTGCCAGGTCGGACACATTCAGAGAGAAATGAAGAAAAGACAAGACAGCCACAAATGGGCGGGAGTGAAGTCTGTAGGGGGCTTATTCCTCAACCTTAACAACATGTCTAACATCAAACTAAACAGCCAACTTCAGTTATGAAATGTGCCATGGGACATTTGACAAAGAGATTAAGTTTCATCTCAAAGATATCTTTCTGAATAAAAAATGATTCGGCTTAAATACAATTTACAACAACAATCTTTTGACTTGGTAGTCAAATCGTGTTTACAGTGAGTAATGCACTTACATGTTACATTTATGAGGCAGGGCATTGCGCTGGAAAACCTTTACAAAAGGAAGGCTACAAAACTTAGTTATTCACTCTTATATAAGGCTATTGTAACTTGTTTCTACTGTAAGTGCATTATTGTACAGTTTTGGTTTGCTTTTATAAACTGCGTGATGCTATGAAACTATTTTCTGCAGTCAATAGAGTCAATAGAAGTGAACGGAGTCTGTTTTTAATTGTCAACTCAACTAGAGGCTCCTAGAAACCATGACTTCAGGGCACACAGACTGTGAGCAGCTCTGATCCTGACCTTAATGGATCACACACACAGTGAGGTTACAATGAGGTCAACAACGATGCATTTCACAATCCAACAGCTCGTTCACTCCACTCACGAAAACAGACAGACACACAACCTTCTCTTGTCAAACCATTTACAATTCTCAGATAATACAGGGTTGGTCTCCCAACAAATTTCAGCACTACATTGCACATTTAGCATAAGCAAGCAAGAGCTAAGAAAGGGAAAAATTACAGATATTAACTACTATTCACTAACAGAGGTATAATTAGCAGTACAGTTTTGGCATTTTGGGATCAATTCATAAGACTCTTTATTAAGTGTTGTCATTTCTGTCCATTAAGAGCCGATCTTACCTTGGGGCAAACTGACTGTCATAATCCTCTAGCGCTGGCTGGAATTCGTAAAAACAACATTTCAGTGCGGCTTAGAAGCTTATTTCCAGCTTAGAAGGAAAATATCCAAGCGTGCATCAACACAGTGTATTAAAGGGACAGTTCACACAAACATACTAATCCTGTCATCTCGTATCGCTCCAAACGGAAGGATACATTCAATTTTCACAATGTTTCAATTGTATTTCCTACAATGAAAGCAGATTGTGACCAGGGATTGTCAAGCTCAAAAATAGACAAATAGCACCATAAAAGTCTTCTGAAGACATACAATAATTTTGTGTTTTGTTATTCACTGAACACCTTCCGCTTTGGTGTTGGTCTCAAAAGTAATTTAACAAACCCAAACCAAGCTTATTGGAGAAACGTACCCGTCCCGACATTTCTACAAAATTATATTATGTCGCTTTTTGCACGTTTCACGCAACTTTAAAAGTGAAATGTCCAGTGTGTGGCACAAAAAAGTGTGTACGGCGAGTGGTCGCTAAAACGTTAATCGCATTTGAAAATAACATGCCACCTACACTAAACTTAAAGGGTTAGTTCACACAAAAATGAAAATTCTGTCAGTAATTACTCACCCTCATGTTGTTCCAACCCCGTAAGACTTTCGTTCATCTTCGGAACACAAATTAATACATTTTTTGATTAAATCTGAGAGCTGGATCACTCCTCCATACTAGTCCATAGGCTTCTTAAGGGATCGAAACTGACCGGCCCAAAAGTTATGAAAGACATTGTTAAAATAGTCCAAGTGACTACAGTGGCTCAATCTTAAGTTTATCAAGCGACGCGAATACTTTTTGTGCGCAAAAAAACAAACAAAAATAACGACTTTATTCAACTAATCATTTCCTTTTCTGTTCGGCCGTGATATTTCACGTAGTGAAACTACGCAAAGCTTCTAGGTTGTACGTCACGCATCACACACATGACCAGCGTCGGCCAATAGTGAGCCTACGTGTGACGTGCAACCTAGAAGCTTTGCGTAGTTTCACTACGTGAAATATCACGGCCCACAGAGAAGGAAATGATTAGTTGAAAAAAGTCGATATTTTTGTTTGTTTTTTTGCGCACAAAAGTATTCGCGTAGAAATACTACGAAACTACGCGTCGCTTGATAAACTTAAGATTGAGCCACTGTAGTCACTCGGACTATTTTAACGATGTCTTTCATAACTTTTGGGCCGGTCAGTTTCGATCCCTTAAGAAGCCTATGGAGGAGTGATCCAGCTCTCAGATTTAATCAAAAATATCTTAATTTGTGTTCCGAAGATGAACGAACGTCTTACGGGGTTGGAACAACATGAGGGTGAGTAATTACTGACAGAATTTTCCTTTTTGGGTGAACTAACCCTTTAACCGATAGTGTTAACAAAAGCAAATGTGAGATAAATAGTGTTCTTTGGTCATGAAACGTGTTGGACTCGCGCTTCGCATCCAAAATGCAATGCTGAGCTACAGAGCAAGTTTACTACATCCAAAAAGCCAAACATCAAAATGTAGTTTAGTTTACGCACTGGGGTAAAAGTGTTTTGAGGTCATATCATTGTGCTGTGCAAGGAACGGCCCCAAAATAAGTGTTATTAAATGATAATCTGCCCCTGTAATCAAAATTTGTGTGACAAGAAATAAAAGTTGTTGGTGTTTTACAGCAACTAGCGATCATTTCAGCTGTAAACTGCAGTGAATTGTATGTACAGGTACGTTTTTGGAAAAAATCTAGATAAGCTCACTGGCAAAACGTGCCTCTATGTTGAAGAATTCAGTCAAACTTGTCGAACCAGATGTGATGTGTCAAATCTGAACATGCAGAAACGTGATTGAGATTTGACAGAGATGTGCACAAATCATATGATTTACTTCCATCGCATTTTTTTCCCCTAATCAAAATGCTTTCGGTGTACCAAAAAGTGAAGCTCTTTAAAACAGCTTTTGTGTTCCGCAGAAGAGAGAAAGTCTTGTGTGTTTGAAACAACAAGAGCATGAGTAAACGATGACAGGAATTTCATTTTGTGATGAACAATCCTTTTAATACGAAAATCATGCACGTTAAGAGAGACCCACACCATTAGTAAGCTTTACAGAACAGATTAAAGAAGAGCTGACACAAAGATTACACTTTGAGCAGAGTTTAAAGAGAATTACAGAGAAAAAAATTCCAAGAAAGGAGACTTCGGTGAGAGATTCCTGTCTAATGCTAATACGTATCTGTGTGTGTGTGTGTGAGTGTGTGTGTACCTGTGCGAAGCCTGCCATGCTGTAGGGACGTGGTCGAGTCTGTGTTAGGCTCTGTGCCAACAGTCGGGCAGTCAGACCATAGTCAGGCATGGGCAAAGACATGTCCTCTCGCTCCAGCAGGTTTCCTGTGCTGCTGCTCTTCCCATGGTGAAGACTACAGGATGAAGGTCAGTCAATCAGTCATCTTTACACATGCGATTAACATGTGTTTGTGTTTCGTATCTGGATAGTTTTTCACGGGATTGCATTTACACCTTTATTCAAATGCCTCTCCAGTAGCTTATCATCGTAAAATACAAAATCACCAGTTACGCACACTAATGCTCAAAAGTTGGGGATTTGTAAATTTTTTTTTTTTTAATAAGAATATATATATTTATTTGTTATTATTAGCAAGGATGCATTAAACTAACTGAGTTGTTTATAATATAAAAATATACAACAAATGCTGTTAAATAAATTCAAAACAATACTAAATGCATTTATTAAGGTTTCCACAAAAAAAAAAAAAAATTGAAGCAAACATTTTCAAAATTAATAATGTAATGTTTTCTTAAGCAGTAATGATTTCTGATGGATCATGTGACACTGAAGACTTGAGTAATGACGCTGAAAATTCAGATTTGTCTTCACAGGAATAAAATAAATTTGATAATATACACAAATAGAAAACAGTACTTTTAAATTGTAATACTATTTCACAATATTACAGTTTTTACTGATTTAAGATAAAAAAAACAAATGCAGAGCAGAAGAGACTTCTTTCAGAAACATTAAAAATGTAAAAAAAAAAAATTATTACCGACAACAAACTTTTGTGGTGAGAGTTTTCGTAAATCATTTAATTATTTCTGTCATTTAAAATGTGAAAAATAGTTTTTCAGTAATTTAATGTTTCCTTTCTTTATAAACTCCTCAGTAAATACTTTTATTAGTGATTAGAAGTGAAGAAACAGGAAGAAAAGGTTTTAAAGCGACTTAAATGAGCCAAACAAGATTCCAACCATATTCCAGTGAAATCATTTGATTAATAATCAGATATTGTTGATTAAATCAGGCGATTTAATCAAAGCGCAAGATAACAATATCTGTTTCAAATCGCCAGAGAAGAAAAAGAAAAGCCCAAACCTGCATCCCACTGCTCAGTCAGTTAAAGTGACATACAGTGCGAGATTATTTTCGGTGTTACCTCGTATTCCTTTCGTAACTAATAACAAAAAGATTTGCCTTTTCACCTTCAATGTGGTCAAAATCCATCCCAGACGACTTCCAAAGGCGTTTTCAGTGAACAGATCATGACGTGATATCTGTGCTGCATTTACACCTGGCTTTTAATGTGTGGTCAAGCGCTATCTGATCATGATCCGATCACCGAAAACGTACAGTATGTCAATACCAAATGTAAAGAGAGAAACTTACTTGACTTTTAACTTCTCGCCGTCACTCTCAGGCAGCACTCGAGTGTAGGAAAACGGAAACCAGCCACGCCTGAGAGAAAAGAGCTTTTCTTTAGAAACTTTACGTCCATGAAAGCGGATCAAACAAAATGTAAAAAAAAAAGCATTAGTGGGATATCTTTAACATCTCAACTTACTTAGAAAAATATTCTCCTAAACAAAAAAAAAAGAGATTAAACGGAGACTTATTTATCTCAGATTATTCTCCTGAGAAAAAGACTCTAGTAATCAAATGTATCACTAATTATTTGTATATATATAATATTTAAATACATGCAAATATACAAGGAGTGAGAGAATGTAGAGAAACATGTCTAATGCCACTTCGCAGTCGCTTCTGGGCACTTGGAGATATTGTTGAGATCTCTTTTGAAACTCTAGAGAACACGCATGAGATATTTTTTGGCTCTTTTTCTCAGGAGAACAATCTGACATGAACAGTACAAGGGGCCCAGAAACCGTAGGGATGGTCCCAACGTCTTCTGCAGTGCTTCATGGGATGCAAGATTCATTTAAGACTTTTCATGTTTCCAATCAGCTCTGTTGCTAATGTACAGTATATATCATTGAGCGCTTACATCTTGTTTTTCTCATTCTCCCCGTAGTGCCAGCCGTCCCGAGCCTCTGGCACCAGCAGGGTGATGATGTCGCCTTCAGTGAAGCTGAGCAGGGTGGTGTTGTCACCAGCGGCGTGGGAGAAAATGGCCTGTACGCGAGCGCGTCCGTTCTTCTCCAGTCCAGCCGCCATAGAACTTGACCTAGGCAGAGTGCGTGTCTCTCCTACAGAGCGAACCAACTATTAATAATAATTCTTTCCATCATTTCTTTTATGGAGCTTTTCTCAAACTCAAAAGGACTTTATTTGCCCAAAAGGTTGTGTGGAAGGGTTGGTTACTCTTACCCACAGTGGTCTTGTTTTTAGCGGGCTGAGGCCTGCGGACGGGCAGAGTGTTGGAATAGACGTCGCTGACCTGTCTCTGGGGGTGGCTCTGTGGTTGAGACTGATTCGGTGGGGAGGGCGGTCTTCCCTGAGAGACCCCTCCCTCGTTCCAGTAGTCATCTCCATGGACCCCTGTTGTCCCGTTCACCAGAGACATGCCATCAGGACCCATTAGCCGCTGCAAGCATCAAAATCACCAAGTAAGCGATGCCAGACACTAATGGTCGACCGATAGACACTTTAGACATTCTACTAACTTTAAGTAACTTTGCAACTACATGTCAACTAACTGTCATTAGAGTATCAGTAGACTGTCTGCTTAATATCTGCTAACACTATTTTGATGGTCCTCCAACAGACATTCTACTGACTATAAGTAACTTAGCAACTACAAGTCAACTTATTCTACTAACCCGAAACCGAACACCTAAAAGTCTACTGACACTCTACAGTCTACTAATACTCTAATGAGAGTTAGTTGACATGTAGTTGCAAAGTTACTTATAGTTAGTAGAATGTCTAAAGTGGACTTGAAATAAAGTGGAACCAGTCTTTTACTTTTATTTTGACAGCGCTGTGTGTGAATGCCATCACCTGAGCGTCAGAGCGTCTTATTAGTTTACTGTCTCTGTTTAACAGTCTAATACATTATAACAGAGGTCTTCAACCCTGCTCCTGAGTTTAACAACCCTAATCAAACACACCTGAACCAGCTAATCAAGCTCTTCAGGTGTGCTGAAGCAGGTTAGAATTAACCTTTGCAGGAGTAAACTTTACTGGAGCTGTGTCCGAAATCACCCCCCCATACCGTTAAATAGTGCACTGTTAGAGGGGACAGCCATTTGTAGTGGTGTCCGAAACCATAGGGGACATTATCGATTGCACTCATTCAATCCCACAATGCACCGCAAATAACGAGTGTACAACCGGTGTACGCTCAATGGATAGAGAATACCCATAATGCACTGTGAGAGTAGCGCACCGAATGAATTCCCGTGTCTGATCAGAAGATGGCGCCCGCAGCTGAATCATCCAACCATTCATTTCCAATCTGGCTACAGAGTATCAGGTATAAATTAATTTTTACTTGTTTAATTTTTTTAATTAAAGTTTATACATGCTAGTTTTCATGCTAGTTATACATGCTAGTATCCATGCTAGTTGTTTGCTAGTTTCCAATCTTTTCATCTTACTACTGGAGCTGCCAGTTTGCTAAATTTCAAATGATTATTAAACAGCAAGCACAAACTATGCAAAAGCGGCAGCCCTTCCAGCACAGCCAGTGTCTGAACTCACTCACTCGTTTTCATTCACTCCTTTAAATGGACTACATTAGTGGAGTAATGTAGGGAATAGTTAATGAGGGTATGAGGGGGCGATTTCAAACAGTCTGGGTTCTCCAGGAGCAGGGTTGAAGACCTCTGCATTATTACATTACATTATAAGACAGAACTGTTAAACAAAGATAGTAATTTGTATATGTACAAGTATACCATGTGCATTTGTAGACTGTATAAAAACATGTGTAGTCAGTTAAATAGTGTGATATCGGCCTTCAGCCACCCTGGTCTCTAAGAAATCGGCATCGACCATCAAAAAAATATCAATATCGGTCGACCACTTCCAGATACACACACAAAAGGCTGGGTTTTAAACCAGCAGACAAGGCCACAGACTTCTAAACAAGCTTTGTTATATACGAGTATCACTCAAGCAGCAGCACCAATAGAGCGTTAGTGCATTATGGGTGTAGAGGCACAGTTAACATTGTGTGAGCGTTCTGCTCTAGCGAGGGGCCACTCGACTAAAGCACAGCCTGCAGACATGAGTTTTAAAGAGGTTGAATCATCCTACGCTCAGCTAATGCTGCAGTATGCAAATGAACATTTACTTTTCACATCAGGATACGCGAGGCTTGAAATGCTATTTTGTGTATTCTGACCAACAATCAATCCTTAATGTTGTGAAACAGATGGCAAATATTCTTTACTAACCCCCTGATGACCCATGAAGGCAGCTAGTTCGGGGGGCACGGGCAGCGGTTGTGCTCCAGGAATGGGATCTGAGATGAGAAGGTTGCCCTTGGAGGAGTGCAGAGGGCTGGAGATGAGGGTGCTTGATCCAGAGCTCATCTGCTGGGCGAGCAACATGGCCCTGTCAGGCAGCTTGTTGGGGTCTGCACAGGCCTGTTGCCACACCGGGATCTTCTGGGTTAACAAGTCCTTACCCTACAAACAAGCACCACGGGAAAGATAGGGATTGTTTAGAATGGCATTGGCAAAGCTTGTCCATAAATGGTGTAATAAAATGTATCCGAATGTGTTTGTTTGTGTGAGAGCGAGAGAGAGAGAGAGAGAGAGAGAGAGAGAGAGAGAGAGAGAGAGAGAGAGAGAGAGAGAGAGAGAGAGAGAGAGAGAGAGATGCCAGATGTCCTCTGTTGGCTTTACACCACTACACTTGATGCTCATGTAAAAAAACAAAAAAAACAAAAAAAGAATTGCCATGGTAACGGTAACTGTAGTTTCTGCCAAAACACTAGAGTTACTTTAATTGTTATTGTTACTACAAATTCGTGACTAGATTTTTACACTTTCAGAAGAAAATGCGAGTGGCTGCTTAGACATTTCAATTATGGTTGCAGAGGTTTTCTGAGTGGTTCTCAGTGTTCTAGGTTGTTGCTAGGGTATTCTAATTGGTTTATTGTGTGTTGCTAATGTGGTCAGAATGGTCTTTGGTGTATTGCTAGGGTGCTCCAAGTGGTTGATAAAGTGTTTTGGGTGTGTTCTGATTGGTTTTTAGTGTGTTGCTAATGTGTTCTGAGTGTTCTTTAGTGTGTTGCTAGGGTGTTCTGAGTTATTTTTATTGTGTTGCTAGGTTTCTAAGGTGTTATAAGTGGTTTATATTGTATTGCAAATGTATTCTGAGTGTTCTTTGATGTATTTCGATGGTGTTCTGGGTGGTTTTTAAGGTGTTCTAAATAGTTATTTGGGTTGCTGGGGTGTTCAGTGATAGTTTTGAGTGTGTTGCCAGTGTTCTGAGTGTTTTTAATGTGTTGTGGGTGATTCCCAGGGTATTCTGTGTTGTTTTTATTATGCTGCTATGATGGTCTGGGCGGTCTTTAGGGTTCTCAGAGGTTGTTTGTGTGTTGTTAGGGTATTCTGAGTGATTTCTAGGGTGTTTTGACTGGTTTTTGTGCGCTGCTAACGTGTTCGGGGCCATTTTACGGTGTTGGTGTGGTTTTTTGAGAATTGTAAGGTTCTGATTTATTTTTGGTGTTTGATGTTCAGGGTCATTTTAGGCTGTTCCAAATGGTTGTTTGAGTGTTGTTAGGAAGTTCTGAGCGATTTCTAGGGTGTTCTGACTGGTTTGCAGTGTTTTGCTAGGATGTTCAGGGTCATTTTAGGCTGTTCTGAATGGCTGTTTGAGTGTTGTTAGGAAGTTCTGAGCGATTTCTAGAGTGTTCTGACTGGTTTGCAGTGTTTTGCTAGAATGTTCAGGGTCATTTTAGGCTGTTCCGAGTGGTTGTTTGAGTGTTGTTAGGAAGTTCTGAGCGATTTCTAGGGTGTTCTGACTGTTTTGCAGTGTTTTGCTAGGATGTTCAGGGTCATTTTAGGCTGTTCCGAGTGGTTGTTTGAGTGTTGTTAGGAAGTTCTGAGCGATTTCTAGGGTGTTCTGACTGGTTTGCAGTGTTTTGCTAGGATGTTCAGGGTCATTTTAGGCTGTTCCGAGTGGTTGTTTGAGTGTTGTTAGGAAGTTCTGAGCGATTTTTAGGGTGTTCTGACTGGTTTGCTGTGTTTTGCTAGGATGTTCAGGGTCATTTTAGGCTGTTCCGAGTGGTTGTTTGAGTGTTGTTAGGAAGTTCTGAGCGATTTCTAGGGTGTTCTGACTGGTTTGCGGTGTTTTGCTAGGATGTTCAGGGTCATTTTAGGCTGTTCCGAGTGGTTGTTTGAGTGTTGTTAGGTTGTTCTGATTAATTTCTAGGGTGTTCTGACTGGTTTGCGGTGTTTTGCTAGGATGTTCAGGGTCATTTTAGGCTGTTCCGAATGGCTGTTTGAGTGTTGTTAGGAAGTTCTGAGCGATTTCTAGAGTGTTCTGACTGGTTTGCAGTGTTTTGCTAGAATGTTCAGGGTCATTTTAGGCTGTTCCGAGTGGTTGTTTGAGTGTTGTTAGGAAGTTCTGAGCGATTTCTAGGGTGTTCTGACTGGTTTGCAGTGTTTTGCTAGGATGTTCAGGGTCATTTTAGGCTGTTCCGAGTGGCTGTTTGAGTGTTGTTAGGAAGTTCTGAGCGATTTCTAGGGTGTTCTGACTGGTTTGCAGTGTTTTGCTAGGATGTTCAGGGTCATTTTAGTCTGTTCCGAGTGGTTGTTTGAGTGTTGTTAGGAAGTTCTGAGCGATTTCTAGGGTGTTCTGACTGGTTTGCAGTGTTTTGCTAGAATGTTCAGGGTCATTTTAGGCTGTTCCGAGTGGTTGTTTGAGTGTTGTTAGGAAGTTCTGAGCGATTTCTAGGGTGTTCTGACTGGTTTGCAGTGTTTTGCTAGGATGTTCAGGGTCATTTTAGGCTGTTCCGAGTGGTTGTTTGAGTGTTGTTAGGAAGTTCTGAGCGATTTCTAGGGTGTTCTGACTGGTTTGCAGTGTTTTGCTAGGATGTTCAGGGTCATTTTAGGCTGTTCCGAGTGGTTGTTTGAGTGTTGTTAGGAAGTTCTGAGCGATTTCTAGGGTGTTCTGACTGGTTTGCGGTGTTTTGCTAGGATGTTCAGGGTCATTTTAGGCTGTTCCGAGTGGTTGTTTGAGTGTTGTTAGGAAGTTCTGAGCGATTTCTAGGGTGTTCTGACTGGTTTGCGGTGTTTTGCTAGGATGTTCAGGGTCATTTTAGGCTGTTCCGAGTGGCTGTTTGAGTGTTGTTAGGAAGTTCTGAGCGATTTCTAGGGTGTTCTGACTGGTTTGCAGTGTTTTGCTAGGATGTTCAGGGTCATTTTAGGCTGTTCCGAGTGGCTGTTTGAGTGTTGTTAGGAAGTTCTGAGCGATTTCTAGGGTGTTCTGACTGGTTTGCAGTGTTTTGCTAGGATGTTCAGGGTCATTTTAGGCTGTTCCGAGTGGTTGTTTGTGTGTTGTTAGGAAGTTCTGAGCGATTTCTAGGGTGTTCTGACTGGTTTGCGGTGTTTTGCTAGGATGTTCAGTGTCATTTTAGGCGGTTCCGAGTGGTTGTTTGAGTGTTGTTAGGTTGTTCTGATTAATTTCTAGGGTGTTCTGACTGGTTTGCGGTGTTTTGCTAGGATGTTCAGGGTCATTTTAGGCTGTTCCGAGTAGTTGTTTGAGTGTTGTTAGGTTGTTCTGATTTATTTCTAGGGTGTTCTGACTGGTTTTTTAGTGCGTTGCTGGGATGTCCTGAGTGTTTGCTAAGGTGTTTTGAGTGTTTTAGTCTATTGCGAGGATGTTCAGGGTGGTTGCTAGGGTGTTCTGAGTTATGTGGCAAAGTTCAACTTCGGGTTAAGAGGTTTGAAAAAGCCCTAACCCTAAGGGCATCGACCGTTTTTGACCCTGCACATTTGCACAATCCTTTCAACATTTAATTCACCTCACGTCATTATCATAGCAGTTGACTGTTGTTGATTCTGAGCAACTGCTAATGGGTCTCTCACATCTCGGACCACTTACAGTACAGCTCACTGCAGTGTGGGTGAGGGGGGCCTTCGTCTCCGTCCTACCGCCCACTCCTGGTGACTCACGCACACAACACACTCACAGCTCCCGACTCCACCACACTCGCTCTCTCTCTTTCTCTCTCTTCAGCGCGCCCTTTCTGAACTCTTCCCACACACGCCTCCATACTGATTAGCTACTGGACAGGATGTTCTTGAAAACGAAAGGCTTTTCTCCGCCCCTCCCTACAGCTTCAACAACGTTCCCAGAAGACATCACCACACGTCTAGTCCATGATCAGGGTTTACGGTTTAGTCAGAGCAAGTTATACAATAGTATATTACACAAAATAGCCACGTGCAAGCATCTCTTCAGCACACACAAGTATACAGATGTAAAAATGAGCATTTAAGTAGATTGCATATGGGCTGGGACCACCTGCAGATCTAAATAACTGCTCTACATGCAGTCTGGAGTTACAATGATGATGTTTTGCCGTGGGGAAGTGGCTCCGTTATTACAGATAATTGATATGTCCAGAAATGGTGTGCATTATTTCACAGGCATCTTTGGAACACAGACAATTGCAGGGGAGAATAAATCTCATCTTCGCAATAAGCCCAAACAAACTGTGCCCAATGGAGACTGTAGTGAGGGGTGATCTTTGGGGATTGCCATGGCAACTGCTGCTGCCTTCAGCCATATTACAGGAGAGACTGTGAAAGTGCATCGGTGGTGATGCGGTCTATCTTGTACGGCAAAGGAAAAAGCATCTGGGTCTCACCTTGCCGTGGTAGGCACTGCTGTTCTTGGCCACGGCGCACTGACGGTCCACCAGGAAACAGTATCTCCTACGTTCCTCTGAAAGTGCTGTTTTGTAGCCCTCTGCGATGAAGGATTCCAGCTCACTCTGTTTACTGCTGATGGTCTCAACAAACTGCGGAAGATAAAAGAAAAAACAAATCGTTTCTATGGTGATCATACAAAGGCTTGAATTTAAGGTTCTTTAAATGTCCTTTTGACCTTCCTAAAGAACCATTTTTTGCTGTGTAATGTCCTTAAGATGGCTTAATGGTTCTTTTTGTTGTCTCTTCTGCTCACCAAGGCTGCATTTATTAGATCCAAAAAAATTAAATTCATTAAAAATCCAGAAAAATCCAGAAAAAACAGTAATATTGTGAAATATTTGTACAATTTAAAATAACTGTTTTCTACATGAATATATTGTAAATGTAATTTATTCCTGTGATGTCAAAGCTGAATTTTCAGCATCATTCCTCCAGTCTTCAGTGTCACATGATCCTTCAGAAATCATTCTAATATGATGGTTTGATGCTCAGGAAACATTTCTGATTAGTATCAATGTTGAAAACAGTTGTGCTGCTTCATGTTTTGATAAATATAATGTTCAAAAGAAAATAATTTATTTGAAATCAAAATCTTTTGTAACATTACAAACGTCTTTACTGTCACTGCGGTCACCTTGCGGAATAAAAAGTATTAATTTTGAACGGTATTGTATATTAAAGGATTAGTTCACTTTAAAAAAAACTTTTGCTGATAATTTACTCACCCCCATGTCATCCAAGATGTCCATGTCTTTCTTTCTTCAATCGAAAAGAAATTAAGGTTTTTGATGAAAACATTCCAGGATTTTTCTCCATATAATGCACTTTGCTGGGCACCAAACGGTTCAAGGTCCAAAAGACAGTTTCAGTGCAAACTGCAAACTGTTCAAAGGGCTTTAAACGATTCCAGACGATGAATAATGGTCTTATCAAGCGAAACGATCGGTCATTTCAAAAATAAATAACAAAGTTTAAGTTTAATAATGTCAAATGCTCGCCTTGCTCTGTTCTGTGATGCACGTTCATGACTCTCCTGTTCGAACTCGTTCATCAAAATGAACAAATCTTTTTTCGAGTCATTTGGTTCATTTAACGAATGAAATGAACGAATTGACTCGGAAAAAGATTCGTTCATTTTGATGAACGAGCTCGAACAGGAGAGTCACACAGAACAGAGCAAGGCGAGCATTTGAGCTTATAAAACTTAAACTTTGTTATTTCTTTTTTAAATGAGCGATCGTTTCGCTTGATAAGACCCTTATTCATCGTCTGGTGTCGTTTAAAGCCATTTGAACAGTTTGCAGTTTGCACTGAAACTGTCTTTTGGACCTTGAACCGTTTGGTGCCCAGCAAAGTGCATTATATGGAGAAAAATCCTGGAATGTTTTCATCAAAAACCTTAATTTCTTTTCGACTGAAGAAAGAAAGACATGGACATCTTGGATGACATGGGGGTGAGTAAATTATCAGCAAAAGTTTTTTTAAAAGTGAACTAATCCTTTAATGAGTACAAAACAAACACTCATCCACATTCGCTATAGCAGCCAGGAATTTCTTTAAAAAAAGTCACCTTTTGTGCTCAACAAAGAAAATTAGGAAACGAGTAAATGATGAACTATCCCTTTAAAAACGTTCTCGCTTGGCATCAGGCTGTGAAACTCGTTTTTGGTACTGATTAAAACTCGAGAATGAAGAGAATTTGGCAAATAATTGATAACAATAGTGTGCAGGTTCTCTATTACGCCTTACAAAAACTATTGCGACAGTTCCATGGTACTGAATGATTATATTCATGCATAATGGCACTACAAAATTGGTGCTTTTTAGTGCTGTTTTGTCAGTGACTGCTCTAGAGTCTAGATTAAAACATGAGCAGGAGTGCTGTGAATATATGAATGTGTTTTAGATATCTGTGCAATAGTTTTTCTAATGAATACTAAAATGATCTCGTCTCTACCCGCTCTCTGCTGATTGGTCGATAATCACCTTGCCATCTCCCTCTCACACATCCCCAGCGGGAACTCTCAGCTCCCGGAAATGTCAGAACCGTTACAGAACTCATTATCTCAACACATCCAGGTGTTTTAGTGCCCTATTCCAATTTACCCACAACAGGACGAGGGGGACTTCCCATCACTCACTGGTATCATCGTGTATTCAGTTATAGTGGCCTGAATGAAGCAAGTGATGAGGAAAGCATTATAATGAGAAAAGTACTTCAGACACCATCAAGAATCAATGATGGGAACTACTTCCAAAGGGAAAAAAAAAAACGGACTCAGAGGGAGTGAAACGCTGATGAACAAGTCAGACTCAGAAATCTAATGGAGCAGACAATCTCCAACGGTCACACAGCGAAAGCTCGACTGCGTTCAGATGAAGATTGGGATGTAAAATTAATGGGTTGTAAAACCAGCAGGAGAGAGTTTTATAGAGAGATTTGATGGTCTTCCATCTACTTTGTATCCAGTGGACTGAATTATCTGAAAGAAGAGCTTGTTGAAGAGAGTATTTACTAGATTGAGTATCCGCAAGATAAAACACAACCTTTGTTCACGCCACTGCCACAAAATGCAAGGTCCTGACTGAAGTGAGTACATGCAGTGTGAAGTTATTACCACAGGTTGGCGCTAGTTTTACACTGATGGCTACTGGCTTACATGTGTTGAGGAACAACAGAAGATTGCATTAAAGACAAAATAAGTGTAAGTGTTGTGGCTTTTAGTCATTGTCTGTCATCTATATGCTAATGTAATCCAAAAAGTAACTCGTAACAGATATATGCAGGGTTTTTCCTGGCTCGAAACGAAGCGGAGGTGGTACCATCCTGATGATGTGCACACATGCACTTGTGCCGTGCCTTCAACTGCCCAAAGCAAACATTTTGAAAAATGAAAAATAGGAGGCTGGAATGTTTTGCCTCTGGTTGTGCACAGTGTAGATGAAAACAAAGGCTTTACAGCAATGTTTAACGACCTTATGTTATGTTTATGTTCAACTACACTGCAAAAGGGACCCCCCTTTAGCTGTTAAAACAGCTGCCTTTTACAAGCAATGTATTTTAGGTTTTCTAATAATTAGATGGTTTAAGAAAATTACAATTATCAAGATAAAGAACATTCTACAAAAAGCTAACCTGTTGAACATAAAGTAATTAAATACAACATAACCGCTAAAAAGGGCCATTTTGCAGTGGAGTTGAACATAAACAACATAAGGTCATGAAACATTGCATTAAAGCCATTTTGCATTCTACACAGTGCACAGCCAGTGGCAGAACATTTCAGCATCCTATTTTTCATTTTATAAAACTTCTTTAACCACAAATGCTCGTCTTGCACTAGCTCTGCGATGCGCCACGCATTACTTAATCACGTTGAAAGGTCACGCGTGACGTAGGCGGAAGTACCGACCTAGATGTTTACAAAGCGAACGTGCAAAGACTAAGTCAATTGCCATTTACAAAAAAAATTAAATAAATAAAAGGTAAAACAACGATGTCAGACGATTTTAAAGTTGGAGGAGAAAATGAGATGGAGTTTTTCGCCCTACCCTACATTTTTGAACCGGAACACGCGTGACCTTTCAATGTGATTACGTAATGCGTGGCGCATCGCAGAGCTAGTGCAAGACGAGCATTTGTGGTTAAAAAGTATATATATATACCGTAAAACTTCAAATAATATTCCCAAATCGTCGAACTGTACCGGCTTGTATTTGAGACAGGCGTCTATATGAGACAGGCCTTTATAATTTAGTGTTGAGATGTTGTTCATTGAGTGTAGGCCTAGAGTCTCTAATCTCTAAAAATCCCCAAATGCTCCACGTGAAACTTCCGACCTTTTACTATCGCGTCAACTGATTTTGATTAATATGCGCGAGGGAGAGAGACCAAGACAGCGCTCGTGTTGTTTGAAGACGTGAGAGTGCGCGCGCATGCGCGCGGCCGGAGCGCTCTCTCTGCTCGTAACGCGCCCTGTCAAGCGCAGCAGTCATTCTATTTTACATCACTCACCGATCAAAAAAGGCTTTGGCGGGACAAACATTTGCGTTGGCGGCCACCAAAAAGCGGACGATCTGACGGTTTTAGAAGATTAAATACAACCCGAAACTAAAAAACAGACCCGGCCTCTATTTGAGACCAGCCTTTATTTTCCCAAACCTGCAGCCACACCAGGCGTGTAAAAGAGACAGGCGTCTATTTGGGACTCGGCTATTATTTGAAGTTTTACAGTAAATATATATATATATTAGTGCTGTCAAACGATTAAAATATTTAATCGTGATTAATTGCATCAATGTCATAGTTAACTTGCGATTAATCGCAATTAATCGCACATTTTTATCTATTCTAAATGTCTCTTGATTTCTTTTTGTCCCATTATTTTTTCTCATTTTAATGCTCTTATCAACATGGAAAAGTGGATCGGCTTGCTTTGTGCAAATGTTTTTTATTGAAAACAACATTGGCATATACAGTGTTCAATTCCACACTAACATTCTCACTTGGAGCAAATAATCTCTCACACAATGTAACACTGTCCATCAATAAAAGGGTGAAAGAAATACTGACGAGGTCCTGATATTGACGAGGGGGCGGAGAATTCGCATCAGCTGTGTGTGTGTGTGTGCTTGGCCATCATCAAGTGGTGTTTCAGACTGGACGTGCTGCGATGATGATAGCTCAGTTCACAACGACAAAAAACACAGATCACTTTGGTCTTGTCAATGGGACCATTTGGCAACTTTTTAAAAGTAAACTTTCAATTCAGAATCTTATTGGCATCCATTTTGGCATCTCGCGCTCGTCATCCACTCAAAACGTAACGTTAACCAACTATTTGGCCAGCTCGCAAGCCCAAACAAGTGTGTGCGGCGTGCCTGTTGTTTTGTTTCCGGTCTAGCTAGATCCGCTTGCGCTTTGGTCGACGAAGCAACAAAACGTCCTCGCGCAGCGCAAGCCATTGAAATGAACGGGTTTCATAGCGCAGCGCAGCGCCGCGCATGCCGCGTCCTGTTGCAAAAGCATGTGAAAAAAACTACAAAGTTTGCTAGGCCAAAAAGACCGTTAATCACGCGATAAAAAAAA